CCCGGTACGTAGCCCCCTCCTCGACTCGAGTTGTCCGCTCGGGTACACAGTCTAGAACATATACCCAGGATGAACCTAGTATAACAAAACCTCATGCCGGATCCCTAGTAGGAACGCTTATTTGCATCATGTTGCATTTGACATAGGAGACTCAACACAGGGGTTGGGTCCGTCTAGGACAAGCAACCTGAAATGAAAAGACCATCCTGCTGCATCCCGTTTGTTTTGCGCATTTATTTGCTTCAGATCTCCATGCTGACCGGTTTCTGAAATAAAAAAAAACAAACAAAAAAAAATTTAAGAAGAAAAGAAAATAGCAGCGTAGGGAGATAACTACTTATTTTTAGAAGAATAAAACCAATGTCCAAGTAGTGTCACAACCTCGCCGAAATTTTCTTTAAAAAAAAATGAAAACAAAATTGGTCTTTTAGTTAGAAAAAAAACATATATAATACAAAAAAAATATTTCCTTTAAATTACTCTCAAAATCCAAAAATATTTGTTTAAAAAATAATAAAAAAAAAAAGAAAATTCAAAATCCAAAAATATTTTTCTTTTGTAGTATCTCTTTCATAAATTCAGACTAATAGTCCAAATGCTTCCTTAGAAGATTTTTCGAAATTTCAAAAAATTGAAAAGGAGTTAAAATTCAAAGGAAAATATTTCTTTAGTCGTCTTTTCTTCTCAAAAAATAATTAAAAAAAAATCGAAATCAAAAAAAATATTTTCTCTTTTTCTTTGTAAGTGTTTTATTCAAAAAAAGGGTTTAGTTTATTTTCTCTATTCCTGATCAGACCGAACTACGCGGGTCTGATTCTCACCGGATGTGAGATACGTAGGCAAACCTCATTGGTTCCGACCCCGATTTTAAAAAAATCCAAAAATATTTTTTTTTAAGTTCCTTCTTTAGAAATCTTTCCTTAGAAAATGCAAATAAAAGGTTTTCTTAAAACTCAAGAAAAAAGGGGGGTAGTTTCTTTCTTTCAAAAGTCTTTCATACGGAAAGATGAAATAATGAAAAACCAAGGTCCAAAATACGGGCTTCCTCCATTTTCAAGTATTCTTCCCAAAAAATCCAAAAAATCAAAATCAGAAACTAAAATCCCAAAAAGATACTCTTTTGAAGTCTTTCTTTTGTAAATGTCCATAAAAGTTTTTGAAAAGTCCAAAAATATTTTGCTTTCTTTATAAGTACTTTTGTAAATAAAAAACAATAAAAAATAAAAAACTTTGAAATCCAAAATGTTTTCTTAAAAGTCCCTCTTTCGTAAATTAAGAGGCAACTTCCAAAACCCAAAATATTTTTTCTTTCTTCTTTAGAAAAACAGAAAACCAATGAAAATTCAAAAAAAAAATATTGTCCTTGTACTTTTAAAAATTCCCAGAGTTCAAATCAAAAGCAAATGAATTTTTTTTTAAAAATATTTCTTTCAAAAAGCAAAACAAAATCAAAATCAAAATAAAAAATCAAAACTATTCCGTTTCTTATTTTAAAGCATTTCTTTCAAAAATTACAAAAAAAAGAGTTAGCTTATTTACTCCATTCTCAGTCTTCACGAACTACGCTTGGTCTGATTCGTGCGGGGTCGCGATACGTAGGCAATCCTTATCGGATTCGACCGTAACCTTAAGAGAAAAGCAAAAAAAAAGGGAAGCAAATAAAGGAAAAACAAAAGAAACAAAAGAGCGGAAGAAAATCAAAGAAAAAAAAAAGAAAAGCAGAAAATGAGAAAAAATAGAGGGAAAAAGAAAATGAAAAATAAAGCAAGGAAAACAAAAGAAAAGCCAGGATGACTCATGTAACCGTAGCACTTGTCTCAAACTAACTGTTTGTTGCTGTCAAATTCCAGCTTAAATTTTAGAAACGGTGGTTGGTTGTGGTACACTGGCATCGCATCAATACTTCACTAGATCGAAAGGCAGTTTGGAAATGTCTACAGAAATGACTTTGCCCGCAGTTACTACATCTGAAGATAGCCCCATCTCAGGGATCCCGGCCTCGGAGTCCTCTGCAGCGGAAGAGAATAGAATCTTGCGTCTGAGGGTGATGGAGATGTGGGATGCATGGACAAATGGAAAAGAACCCTCGAGCGCCATCCTTGAATTTCCTGAGTTATTCCCAAGGTCAACGGGTACTTCTAACGTTCCAATCAGTCACCCGAACGTCCCGTTGGGGAAGCCTACTATATCTGCTCACTATGTGGGAGGCACTTCTGAGGTTCGCCCCCAGACATTCATACCTGGGACTGCTCCAAACATCTTCACTGCTCCACCATCTACTGCTACAACATAGCCCGCAGTCCCGAGGCCTGTGTTTGATCCATCGGCCTTCACTTACCAAACTCCTACTTACCAGCCAGAACTTCCGCAATACCCCACATATGCCTACCCTCATCCACCAACATATGAGTTTACACCAGGACAAGACAAAACCCCTAAAGTCACAGAGCAAGATGAGATGGGCAAGAAAATGAGAAGCCTTGAACAGAGCTTAAAGAACATGCAAGGTTTGAGCGGGAAAAAGAGTGTCTCCTATACAAATCTGTGTATGTTCCCACATGTACACTTGCTGTCAGGGTTCAAAACACCAAAGTTTGAAAAGTATGACGGGCACGACGACCCCATTGCTCATCTGAAGAAGTATTGCAATCAGTTACGGGGGGTCGGTGGCAAAGAAGAATTGTTGATGACATATTTTTGGGAGAGACTAATCGGCATCGCCTCAGAGTGGTATATGGATCAAGACATCTCACGTTGGCATATCTGGGATGATCTTGCCCAATACTTTGTTCGACAGTTTCAATACAACATAGACATTGCGCCAAATAGGAACTCTCTAACAAATCTAAAGAAGAAACCCTCAGAAAATTTCAGAGAATATGCAATTAAGTGGCGCAAACAAGCTTCAAGAGTGAAACCTCCAATGGATGAGATAGAAATGGTCACTGTCTTCCTGCAAGCCCAAGAGCCCGATTACTTTCAGAATATGATGTCGGCCATGGGAAAACCTTTTGCAGAGGCCATCAAAATTGGTGACATGGTAGAACACGGTTTGAAAACAGGTAGGATTTTGAGTCAGGCAGCCATCAGAGCAACCTCCCAAGCCATCCAAGGCGGGTCTGGAGGAATGGCAAATAATAGGACAAGAGAAGAAAAAACCATGGCAGCATCAGGGGGAAGAAGATACCGGGCCCGTAGACCTGTGTTCTCTGAAATAACCCCTCAACACTACAATCCTCATTCTGATATGGTCTATGCTCCACCACTTTATGCGGTTATGAATGCTCAACCTTTCAGTCGACCACAACCACAGGCTAACAGAAATCAGCCTCTATTCCAAAGAAACCAGCCTCCTCACCAAAACCACTATAATCCTCGACCTTCCCAGAATAACTTCCGTCCTCGGGAACCACCCAGGAGACCCAACTATACACCAATCGGTGAACCCTACTCCACCCTGTTCCCTAAGCTTGTCCAGATGAATTTGCTGCAGCCCATACCCCCAAACGGGCAAAACCCGGAATCACCATCATATCAGCGGGGTGTCAGGTGTGCATACCATTCATAGGTAGAAGGGCACGATACAAGCAACTATTGGACATTGAAACAAGCGGTAGAGAACTTGTTAGAGCAAGGGAAAATTGTGTTGAAAGATGAGGATGTCCCAAATGTGACCAATAATCCGCTGTCCGCTCACAACAATGGGCCGATAATCGGGATGATTTGTGAAGGCAAAGAATTTGATCCGGCGCTTAAGGCCATAATTGCTATTGCTAATGCAGAAAGGAAGCCCAAGGCAACCCCGAAGCAAGAGAAAGGGGAAAAGAAGAGTAAAATCACCGAGACTGAACCAGAAAAGAAAATTGATGTATCCAAGCAGGCATATGTGGTATGGGGGACGATCAAACCACATCGGCTGAATGAGCCAGTGGTTATTGGACGCATACCACAGAAGCCAAAGTACAGTAAAGAGGA